AGGAGGTATGGAGGTTTGTCTGTCCCAAGGCACACTCATACCTGGGAGTCTCCAGTGCCAAGACTCCACTCCACATGGTGTGGAGAGCACTGCCTTCTCCCATCCCATTCTCCTCTGGGAGCCTGCACTGGTTGGACTGCTCTTGGACATGTCAGTGACCCCCCCTTGGTGTGATCCAACAGCTTTTGCAAATTAGTGGCAGGATAAATCAGGTATTCTGGCACAGGAGTGGGATGCACCTCTATCAGACAGGGCTGGGAATCCCAGAAGGCTGCAGACAATGCCTGCCAGTGCTTTATAAAGCACACTTCCCAAAAACATGCTTTGGGGGGATGGATTCACAGCCCACAAACCCCAGCATGTCCATGAGCCCAGAAAGAAGAGCAAGACCAGAGAGGATGTGAGCTGCCTTGCTGTACCAGTCAAGGACCTGGGGTCATGGCTGAGGGAACATCACCACAGGACCATCCGGACACAGCTCTGGAGACTCCAGCAAGGCAGCATGAAAACAACAGGAATCAAACAGCAAAAAGGCAGGAGTGCTGCCATCCTAATAAAAGGATGAGCCAGCTGGTCACTAGGAACCAGAGCAGCTGTCCCACTGAGCCAGCTATGCCCATCTTCCTGGACACCCATGGGGATGGAGCATGGGTGGGGTATGGGAAGAGGGAAAGGAAGCAAGAGGCCCAGCCAGGCATCACACCACTTTGACTAGAGGCAAAGAAGCCAGCTGGGTACTGGGAAACAGGCAGTCACACACAGGGGTGACACAGCCTTTGCTAACTGCTGCACATAATGCTGGGCTCTGCTCCTTGCTCCCCCTTAGGAGGCAAAGAGCAAAAAGCCCTGGTTTTATAAATTCTTCTCACTGAAAATCAGCAAGGTTAGAACTTGGTGGCCATTGATTGCTAGTTTTCAACAGAACAGCAGCCAGCACTTACTGGATTAGGTAGGGAGCTGGAGAACCATGCTTCCCTCTAACTTCACTGGGAACCAAGAACTGGGGAGGATCCTCCCTCTCTGCAGGTGATGGCACCGCAGAGTCCTCCATGGTCAGAAGGAGAGAGAATGAGGGGGAAGACATTTTGCTGAGAAAAGAGTAATGGGGAGACTTGCAGGCCAGTCAAGGGAGAAGAGAAAGCACGCTGGAATTGGGACAAGTCATCATGAAAACAATCCCAAACTTAATTCCCTTGGATGGGACTTCACGTAGTGCTTAGAAGAATTGCCACTTTATCTTTGCAGACACAAGAAGCAAGAACTTGTTCTGCCATTGTGCAGTCACCAATTCCGTTTTTTTCTCTCTCTCTTTTTTTTTTTTTTTTTAAGAGTGAGCAAAAGAGGCATCTTTACAGCTCACCATGGAAACTGCTGTTGTGGACAAGGAATGGCTGGTGTGTCCTCGGGGTGTCACTCTCTAGCAGGTGGCCAGAAAGACACCAACCCTGCACCCAGGGTCAGTCTGGATCCAGCTGTGCCCCACTCTGGAACAGCTGGAATCCAGGCTCCCTGGCAGGGCGACCCCCTTGGGCACTGACCCTCCAGGATCCCTGTAGAGGAATCCCTGCCTCGGTGCTCACCCAAAACAGACCATCAAAGGAACCGGAGTTGTTTTTTTCGGAGAGAAGCGGTTCCAACTGGAGGGCTGCAGTTATCCGTGGCCAAGCTTTCCCATTGTTATTTTACAGTTGCTTGATGTTCTGAAAGATATTTAGAAAAATGACTTTAACTGTCCTGTGCCAAACTGGGTGAGGGTGAAAAAAAAATGAAATTTGGCAGAGATGTTATTCATTCAGCATGGAGCTTGGATGACGTCCAGTGACTAACACAGGAGTTTTAACTGATCTGGGAGACTAAAAACCATTCACAAATAATTTGATTTAGGGTCACTGTGATTTCTTTTTATAAATAATTTTCATTGAGAAGTATTTTTTTAATTAGGATCGACAGATCCTAATAGCAGCCCTATTGTGTGCGCCGCTCATCATTCCCGTCTTCCTAAATGACTTACACATGTTGTGTGCTGGTTGCTTGTTCCCTGCACACGATGGGGCTTGTTCACGGGGTAACCAACCCCTCACGACAGTGGGTGAGCCGTGCTGAACTCCTCACTCCAAAGGCACGGCTCTGAGGGGGACCCACATGGAAAGCAAAGGAAGCTTTCACCATCCTGTCACACGCTCCGGTTCAGGGGCTGGTCTAAGCCTTTGCACAGCTTCAGACATCCCCCCACAGCTGTAACTTTGCTCTGGCTCTGAATGATGGCAACAGAGACTTTGCTTTAAGTGCTTTAGTGCTCCAAGTCCCATCACGGTGCAGGAAGTTCTCTGGATCAGAATAGGCTCCCTTTTCCGTGGTGGGAGTGCTGGACAAGGATGGGACCGAGGCAAATATCTGACACAACGTGGCAAAAAGGCTAAACTCGGTCACCTCCTAATCCAGCAAATCGCCCAGCTCAGCCTGAATAGATCTGGGAAGACTGCAGGAGAATTCGGACAGAAGAATGACTCGGCGACTCGAATGAATCTTTCTTGGCAACATCCTCCGTGTGTGACAGCCTTTTCTTTGACTTGCACAATAACAATTGCAGCCCAGCCACTTCAGTTACTAATCTTATCTGTTGTTTGAATGGCTCTTAGCTTCCCCCCTGTTGATTATAAATGTTTGTACAAGTTCTTGGAGTCAGCAGAGTTGTTGTTTCGTAGCTGAATAACAGGCTTGGGCTCCCAAAGTTGGAGATGCTCGCTGTAATGATCAGATATGTTCTTAAAAGCCCACTGAATTGGATTTCAAAACAAAAGGCCCATTGATCTTAAGCCTGAAATCCCAGCCACAACTCTGAAAAACATTTTCCCTTGTCTTTCTGAGGAACTGAAACCGGCGCGATAAACTACGACTACAACCGTCAAAGAAAGGAGGATTTATCTTATGAGAGGAAACTACCAGAAGTTGATCTTATTTAGGCTGTCAGAAAGGGCTGAAGGGGATATAATTGCTACTGAGAGACATGTGGAAGGGGAGAAAACATGAGAAAATCTTGTGAAATCCCCAAGCCGAGAGTTGTGTGGCTGGGGAGGAAAAGATTTCTGATTTTCAGAGCAGAGGTCTGGGATGGGTTTCAGCAGAAGCCACAGAAGCAGCCCAGGGTGCAGCCTGATAACCACATGGAAGACACTGATATGACTGCAACAGGCAGGGAGGGCAGTGTGTGACACAGGAGCTCGCTGCAAGATCCCATCCAGCCTTCGGCCACCAGTACCGGGACAAGGCATGAAGAGACTCCCCTGGCTCCTGCACTTATCTATCACCTTGGTCTGTCCTGTTTGGCTCCTCACCTCACCCAGCAGCCATCCCAGGCTTGCCTTGGCCACATCATCTTGTTTTTAGCACTGGGAAGACTCATGCAGGTCCCTGTGGCGCTGTCATGGCCAGACGCCCAGGATGGACTGCTGTGGAAGAGTTCCCATTGAAATTGGGGGAAAAACCCACCTTTTTTGCTTTGTTTTCTTTACTTAAATAGCCAAATGCTGTATTCTAGCCAAAGTCAGTCTCAAAACCAGAGCATCAGGTAGTTGCTGTGACTTCCAACACAGAATGGTGCTGGGCAAGCAGAGACTCACCAGCACAGTCCTACCAAAGCACAAATGTCTTCTTCCTGGGACTGCTGGTATCCACCTGGAGCACATCCTCCCTCGAAACAGTAACACTGGTCTGTGCTGGGATTAAAAAATAACCTCTGCTGCTGGCCAGCATCATCAGCACCAGTGATTCCCACCCCACCCCACTCAGAGACAGACCAGCCACGTGCTTCCAGGGCTTTCACCAAACACAATCCCTTAGCAGTTATGCATTTCCCAACTCTACCACGTGGATAAAGCAGTGGTTTATCCATAAGGACACCTGGTGGCATTAGCAAGACAGGCCTTGGTTAAGGTTGTTTAATGCTGTTTGCCTTCAAAAAGAGCAAATCAAGGCAAAGGGGTTGCCAGAGCTCCAGCCCACAGCCTACCATGGATGCAGTGAGGTGATTCCAGCCTGGACATGCAGTTCCTACATCACAGACACCTCAAGAGAGTTTGGGTGGGCTGAAAATCAAAGGCAGCATCTGTGCATCCCAAGCACTCAAGGCTTTCCTGCAGCCAACAGCTCAGCCAGCTCTGAAATAGTCTTTCTTTGGTAAAAGGAAACTGCTTCCCTATTTATTTTTTTAATTACCCAAAGAGTTGCTATCACCAAGGCTTTAACCACAGCCATGGGCTGGGGGTTCCTCCCATGATATCTGAGCATCCTCTAAGCCTCAGTTCAATTCCTGTCTCCTCAATAAGGCATAGGAGTGCCAAACATGTGGCCTGTGGGCCAACCCAAAATTCACCTCATTCGTTGTTTAACACTTGCAGGCTGTTTAGGACGCTTGAGGCAAATCAATGCCCTCCACAGAGGGCAGCTGTCCTGTAAGCAGCAGGCAGGGAAGTGACTTTTACCCAAAGCAATTCTGCCACTTTGCTTCCTGACCTGCAGCACCAGGAGAAAACATGCTTACTTGGGCTAGAGCTGGCTTGGGATGGGTGTTTGGAAACAAGGACTATAAGGTAAAGCCTCTCCTCCAAAACCCACCTCCAAACCCCCCAAACCCACCTCCAAAACCTACTTCCAAAACCCACCTCCAGATCTCCAAAACCCAGCCTCAAACCTCCAAAATCCACCTCCAAAACCTACTTCCAGACCTCCAAAGTCCACCCCCAAACCTGAAAAAAAACCCACCTCCAAACCTCCAAGACCCACCTCCAAAACCTACCTTCAAACCTCCAAAACCCACCTCCAAATCGGGGATGGGGGGGACTCTCGGCGTGTGTGCCCGTCCCCGTCCCCCCCATCCCCATCCCCGCTGCGCTCCGGGGGGACTCCCTTTACCCCGCTCCGCTCCGGAGCCCTATTAATTAACTCCATTACCAACTCCCCGAACAAACACACATCCCACCCGCGGAGCCCGGTAATCCCACGGGGGCGGAGGGCTGGACGGTTCCCTCCGAGGAGCACGACCCGGGGGCCGCTGCCGGTGGGGTCGGGAAGGCGGTGGTGGGGACAGGGTCGGGGTCGGGAAGGGGCGATGGGATCGGAAAGCGGCGGTGCCGCCGGGACGGGGTCGCGGAATTCAGGACGCATGGGTATCGGGAAGCGCGGTGCCGCGGGCGTCGGCGAAGGCGGCGATGGGATCGCGGAAAGGCGGCTGCGGTGGGACGGGATCGGGGTCGCCCCGAAGGCGATGGGATCGGGAAGCGGCGGTGGGATCTGGGAAGCGGCGGTGGATCGGAAGGCGGCGTGGGATTTCAGGAAGGCGGCGGTGGGATCGGGAAGGCGGCGGTGGGATTCGGAAGGCGGCGTGGATCGGAAGGCGGCGCGGTGGGATCGGAAGCGGCGGTGGATCGGAAAAGCGCGATAAGGGATCGAAGCGGCGCGTGGATCGGTGAAGCGCCGCCGGTGGGATCGGGAAGCGGCGTGCCGCGGGATCGGGGCAGAGCGCGGCGGCAGCTGCAGTACCCGCGGCCGCCGCGCGGCGGCGCTGGGCGCTGCCGCGCTCACCGGTGGCGGCCGGCGGGCGGGGGGCCGCTCTCTGCCGCCTTCCCCGCGCCCTCTCCTACGCCCGGCAGATCGTCGCGCGAGCGCGCCGGCTGTGGCCGCCCCGCGCGGCTGTTGCAGCAGCGCGCGCGGCGCGGGGCGCGAGCAGGAGGAGGAGCGAGGAGGAGGAGGAGGCGGCGGCGGCGCCGTGGGGCCCGCGCGAGGCGGCGGCGGCCGGCAGGAGCGGCAGTGCTGCGGCGGCGGGGGGGCGGCCGCGCCGGGCGAGCAGCGCGGGCGAGGGCCCGAGCGGCGCCGGCGCGGGACCGCGGCGGCGGATCCATGCGGACAGAGACAGCGCAGCGAGCAGGGCGGCGGCGCGGGAGCCGGCGGGCGCCGGGCGGCCGGGCGCGGGCGGCGGCGCCCGGGCGGGCGGCGGCGGCGGAGGGGGCCCGGCGGCGGGCTTGCAGGGCACGAGACGCAGGAGCTGGCCTCCAAGCGGGTGGACATCCAGAACAAGCGCTTCTACCTGGACGTGAAGCAGAACGCCAAGGGCCGCTTCCTCAAGATCGCCGAGGTGGGCGCGGGCGGCAACAAGAGCCGCCTGACCCTCTCCATGTCGGTGGCCGTCGAGTTCCGCGACTACCTGGGCGACTTCATCGAGCACTACGCGCAGCTGGGGCCCAGCCAGCCCCCCGAGCTGGCGCAGGCGGCCGACTGGCGCAGGCGGCCGACGAGCCGGCCGGGCGCTGAAGAGCGAGTTCCTGGTGCGGAGAACCGCAAGTACTACATGGATCTGAAGGAGAACCAGCGCGGGCGCTTCCTGCGCGTCCGCCAGACCGTGAACCGCGGCCCGGGGCTGGGCTCCACGCAGGGCCAGACCATCGCGCTGCCCGCGCAGGGCCTCATCGAGTTCCGCGACGCCCTGGCCAAGCTCATCGACGACTACGGCGTGGAGGAGGAGCCGGCCGAGCTGCCCGAGGGCACCTCCTTGACTGTGGACAACAAGCGCTTCTTCTTCGACGTGGGCTCCAACAAGTACGGCGTGTTCATGCGGGTGAGCGAGGTGAAGCCCACCTACCGCAACTCCATCACCGTCCCTTACAAGGTCTGGGCCAAGTTCGGCCACACCTTCTGCAAGTACTCGGACGAGATGAAGAAGATCCAGGAGAAGCAGCGGGACAGCGCGCCCCGCCGTCCGCGCCTCGCCCCGCCGCGGGCGCCGAGCCGCCCCCCCGAGGCCGAGGCGGCGCCCGCCGCGCGCCGGCGCGCTGCTGCAGGCCGAGGAGCCCGAGGAGGACTGAACCCCCCGCCCCCGGGAACGCGGACTGGCCCCGCCGCGGCGGGAGGGCGGGCGGGCGCGGCGGGGGCGCGGGGCGGCGGCCCGGAGCCGCCCCCCCGCCCAACTACCCCGCCCGTAGCCCCCGGCCGCGCCGCCCGCCCGGCGCCCCCACCCGCCGCCCGGCAACAGCAGCCAGCCACGCAGCGCTTCAAGACGCCAACCATCGCTGGATGTTTCGTCCACTTTACCCACCGTATCAGAACAGTAAGCAGCTGCTAAAAAAAAAAAACAAAAAAAAAGAAAAAATTCAAAAATTCCAAACAAAAAAAAACAAACAAACAAACAAAACGAAAACAAACAAACAAACAAAAAAAAAAGCGAAAAAAAAAAAACCAAAAAAGCAAAACACAAAAAAAAAAAGAGAGTCAAAAAAAAAAAAGTAATAACATTATATATGAACTGTGTTTCCTACTTGATTAAAAATATAAAGAACTGAGTGTTTATTTCCCTAATTAACCGAGAACTTTTGTACACGTTTAAGCTATTATTATTAAAAGTGTTTGCAAAAATGGTCAAGATTATAATATTGCTGAATTATATAAAAAAAAAAAAGTCCTTTTCATGTTGAGCTAACATTTGACTTTAGCACAAAAAAAAAAAAAGAAAAGAGATATTTTAGAACACGTAAAATAATATTTTTAGTTTTTTCTTCTCATTTTGTTACCAAATTTCGAACCTTACATGGAGGTTACTATAGTATATTTGACACCCTATATACCTGTGATTAGAGATGTGTATATATATATGAGGGCTAGGCATGCTGTGTGTCTGAGCTTTGTCTAAATGTTATGCAGAAGTTTGTAGAGTTAAAAGGTACGTAGGTTTAATTCATGCAAGGTAAACAATAAGTGCTCTCTTTTATACAATATGCATTGCATCTGGACCTTAAACATATAAAAATGGTCAGTGAAACTTCTGTGAACATGAAGAAAAATTATTAAAAAAGGCATTTAAATGAAATTTGCTAACTTGTGATTTTTACGTTTGAACCAAAGTTATTCAAATAGTAAAAAAAAAAAAAAAAAGAAAAGAGGAAAAGAAAAAAAAAGAGAGAGAGAGAGAAAGAGAAAAAAACGAAAAGTAAAAGAATTTCCTCCCGTAATATTTTTTTTCTGCACCTGTTTGGTTTACAACTGAGTAGGCGTATTGTCATTATTGTGTATATGAGATGTACTTGTATTGTTCATAATATATTTTTTTTATTCTGTGTACTTAAAAGTACTTTAACCTGACGTGCAGCGGTTTCCAGTGCACCTGTTTTGTTGTTTTTTTTTCGGACAGCAGGTAGCGAGTCTTTCCGTGTGGCCACTGGCACTAGCACTATCCTGAACTCGGGAGAGGTCCGGAGCGATGCTTTGATCCCTGTTAAACTTCCCTAGGCCTGTTAGGAACCAGTGCAGTGTGATCCCACTGAGCCATGGGGGTCGGAGTTTGGTTGGACAGTGAAAGCCAAGCCGGTGTGTGTCCGTAACGGATTTCCATGTAGCTGTGGTGCTAGTTATTACTGGCTACATACCTGGCCGTGCCCTGCCCTCCCCGTCCCAGCTCTGCTCCAAGCCTAGGCTAGGGAGACGCAGATTTGTCAGAACACTAATGTGTCCAGGTGTGTTCTCCAAATTGAAATTGTTTGTAATAATATAATAAGAATAATAATAGACTTTTACAGGTTGTCTTTGTTGTTTTCCGGTTATGTTTTGGTTTTGTTTTGTTTTTTTTTTCTTTAAAAAAAAAAAAAGAAAGTTGGTGTGTGCTTTTAATTGACTAACTTCTTGCTGCTGTATAGTAAAATATTAATATATTTTTATCATTAAACTGCTGCATGACTATCATCATTGCGAGTGAAGAGAAAATGTTATAAAAAAAAAAGAAGATGCCTTAAACAGTGAAAACAAAAGTTTTATTATTTTTTTGTTTGTTTTTTTTCTTTTCTTTTCTTTTCTTGGCTGGAATTCAGTAGGAGAGCATTTCAGAGAAACTAGGATCTTGTTCCACTCGGAAGTTTTTTTTGGATGCAATCGTTTTGCTGAATGGTCTTGGCAGAGTTAGGGGCCAGGTAGAGCTGAGCTGCTCCTGTGCAAGCAGGAGCTGCCGGCGCTTCTGTACCGAGGGGCAAGGATGGAGTTTCGGAAGGGTGGGGAGAAAACAACAACAAAAAAAAGCTTGTTTTAAAAGAATTTGATTTCCTGCTGTCATTTTATTCCCAGTTGAAATTATAATTCCCTTTTTCTTCTTGTTTTGTTTTGTTTTTTGTTTTTTTTTGAGATGTACTGTAAGTGTCAAAACAAGCTGTTTCCATTGTACCATGCATTATTGCCCTTGAAAGAAGTTTGCTGTTAGTGTTCACAGAAAGTTAAACACGAGACGCTGGTAGCGAGGTGTTTCTGTTTCTTTTTTAAACAATCACTGGAAATGTTTAAAATTGCTTTAATGTGCACTTTTCCTATTTCCCAGTAGTGAAATAAGCTTTTTTCGGAGTGCGTAATGTGACATTTGAAATGGTTCTCAATTGCATGTAAACATGTGTCTGATAACCTGCTTCTGATTCGGAGGCTCTGGATGGGGCAGTTCCAGCGATTATTGTACTTCAACTGTGATGTGTCGGGACTGCACTCTCCATGCTGCTAGACGTAGTTAGGAATTTAATTGCTTTGGTTTTTTTTTTGCTACTTGATTGATTGTCTCGGTCCCGCTGTTCACTGCCCTCCCCAAAGTTGTCGCGCTGCCGACGGACGCGCTCCGCCGCCCCGTAGTTCCACGGCGCGTTCCCGGCAATAAGTAGCGGCAGGCGAGGCGAGCCCGGCGGAGTGTCCGTCCGTCCCTCCCGGCTCCGGGAGCACCGCTAAGCGAGGCAGGCTGCTCCCGAGGTTCTTCCTCGCCCGCGCCGCCCGGATCCTGCCCAGGATCCGGCTGACCCGAGGAGCGCACGGGCCGCGCGGTTCCAGTCAAACCAGTACAGCCTGGGACAGCCCGCGGGCGGTTCTGTGAACAGTGTCCGAGAACTTGTGGTCAGTTTTTTGTCTCGGTTTTGTTTTTTTTTTATTATTTTTTTGGAGTTTCTTCTGCGTGTTTCGTTGGGTTTTTGGTTTGTTGTTTTTTTTTTTTTTGGTTTGGTTTGGTTTTTTTCCTTCTTTTAACGCACGTTCTGTATGTTCAAGGACTTGATGAATGATAACGAAAGACTAAAATGACTGTAAAGATTCGTGGGATTTTGCTCCTGGTTGTTTTAGTTTTCATTTTTTATTTTCTTTTTTTTTTTGTTTCTGCTTTTTTTTGTTTTAATTTTTATTTTCCCGGCGGTGCTCGGTACTTTACCAAGGCTCTAATATCTCAGTATTTAAAGCAAAGTACAGAAAACCCTGTTTAATGTTAGAAGAAGAAAGGTATATTTGACCATATGTGTTGTTTTAAAAAAAGACAGTATGCTCAAATGTGCCAAGATACCTAATTCCTGAGAAGTATGCCTTATATTTTCCTTGATGATATGCTTTTAAATGTCTTGTAGAATAGGTCCAAGAGCATGATAAAAGCTACTTTATAATGACTACGTGCAAGAAAACTTGAAATTCATTGCAATACTGACATTATTTTATTTTTAAGTTAAAGGGACACTGTCAAGTAATTTACCATTGAAACAACCACCTTTTAAGTGGTTTAATGGTAACGGAGAAACGTCCTCCGAATCCAAATTCTATTTTTTTTTTTTTTGTTAAAAGAGAGAAAAAAAAAAAGTTAAATTGCTCTGCCTTTGAGAATTTAAATTAAAAAAGAAAGAAAGAAAGAAAGAAAGAAAGAAAATAAAAAGAAACAGCGCGAGCCGCTGTTGATTCCTGCCTCTTCTTTGCGGTCCCGAGGCTTCCCGGGAGCCGGGGGGACTGTGGCCCGACCCCTCCGGGGGTCCCCTCCGAGGCTGGGCCCGGGCGGGATGCGCGGAGCCGATGCGGGAGCCCGGCCGCGGGATGTCGGGAGCGCCCCGAGCTTCCCGCCGGGCGCAACCGGGACGCGGCGGAGCGCTTTCTTTTTTTTTTTAATTGGAAAATTTAACTGAAAAAAAAAAACAAACAAAACAAACAAATAAAAAAAAAAAAGGAAATAAATACTTGACAGTGTCACTTTTTTTGTGCGTATCCCGCGCAGGGGTTGAAATGTGCTGGGGGTAGCGCTGCCGGGAGAGCGGTTCCCAGCCTGTCCCGGGATGTGGGAAGCGCGGAGGGGCTGCCCGACGGGCAGTGGGTGGATGCAGAGCCCACCCTGAGAGCCAGGCAGAGCTGCTGCCGGGGATTTAACCCCTGCTCAGAGCCGACCGAAAACTTCTTTTTTTTTTTTGGTTTGGTTTGGGTTGGGTTTGGTTTTTTTTGGGAGCAATTACTTTGTTGCCTTTAAAAATAGCACTGTAACCACCTTTTTTTATGATTAGCTGTAGTGTAACCTTTGTCCCTTCAAACTATGCAAGCTATGAAATGTAAATTAGGGATCAGTTAAAGATAGTTGACTATATTCAATCAGATGACATTCATGCACTAACTGGAGTATATACAGATAAAGCTATTAGAGTGACTTGTATGCTAACAGCAAGATATAACATACCTACCTATTCTAAAAAAAATGACTATTAATATTGTATAACAGGACTGTGGGGGTTGGGAGGGAATGTTATCTCTTATCTTCTTAAAAGGGGATTTAAGATTTTTATAACTGTTTTTTCCATCAAACTTTAATATTTTTGTCAAATTTTTAGGTATTTAATTTGTAAAATAGATTTTACTTTGTACTGGCGTACAGAAAATAGGGGTTGATTTAAACTTTTTTGAAGCCAAGTGATCAAGTACATTTGTAATAAAAAGTCAATGGATCTATATCAGTCGTACTCACTGTTTTCATTTCTTGTACGTTCTAATGCAGTGGCGCTGAATGTCTCCCAAGGAAAAAAAAAAATTGGGGAGGGGGGTGGAAGGAGAAGGCAAAAAATGTCAGCGTTGATGCTGCCAATTGATGCGACTTTGCGTGGGCAAGTGGCCCCTGGTCAGTGGAGATTTGGTAGATATGCATTTTTCCTTAAAAAAAAAAAAAAAACAAACCACGGTGCACTTTTTCCAGAAGGGTTTATGCAAACCTGACGTTTTTGGCATGTCTGCACTTCATGCTTCCACCTTGGCACCCGTAAACTCTGTAAAGCCCCCCCCCCTTTGGGAAGCGCCTTTCGCTGGCACTTCAGAAAAAAGCAAAACCAAGCAAAGCAAAACTCTGATTTCTTCTGAGGCGGTGAACCACGGCACGTGACGTTTTTGCACCCGCACATGTTGTCTCCCTTCCTCAAAGGTCTGCCACTTGCTTTTCTCTAAGTTCAACAGGTCATACTTTTTTGGGGGGTTTTTTTGTTGTTTGGTTTTTTTTTCTTTTTTAAAGTAAAATTGCCAAGTGTTTTGGATCGAAGACTTCAGCAGATCCACCGAGTTTGGATCCAACACCTTGCAGAGCACTGACATAATTATTTTTTGGTTGCTTGTTTGCTTTAAACCCAGCCCTCCCCTTCCCCGTCCCCTGGGCATATACCAAATCTGATTGACTTGTCTGTGACAGAAGTTGTGGGAGCCAGCAGGGAGAACAATGACATTAATGTACAAGAATGCTAAAACAGGTTTACATTTCAGGGGGCTCTCTTCAAACACAAAAACTCAAAGTGTAACTAGAACCAACCAATTTCCTCAGTCTTGCTAATCCGACGGGTAGAAAGCGAGTTTCTCTTAGGTGAGTTGGAAAGAAGGCAGGGAAGGCAAATTCTTCCACAGCTGTGCAATTTGCTCCTTCAGAAACCTGCTGCTTCTTACTGGATTGAATGGCTTTTGGAGAGGAAGGGCTCTGCCTGGAGCGCTGGGAGTTTCTCTGTTAAAATCACACTGTCAAGGACTTTTGAAATCCCGATTTACATATTTCGTTTTCTTTCTTTTTTTTTTTAACTTTTTTTTTTCCTTTCCTTTTTGCTGGGCTTACCCAAACTTCCCTTTTATTTTCTTCCTCCCCTCCTTCGTAGGCCGCCTGCTCCTTGTTAACTCAGCTTGTGTAGCTGGAGGGTCGCTGTGCGTGGTGGTGGTTGGACTGTCTGGAAGGGGAGCCCAGCGTAGTTTGAAGTTCTCGTGCTGGGTTTTGTACTTTTTGCACACTCATTTCTCTCCGTAAAAGTTTTACTCTTCTTGGCTTTCTCCTGTAATGCATGAAGACAGGTGAAGGGCTCTTAATTTTTGGTGGCAGAACAGAGAGGGCTGCACGCAGAGTGTTGTCACAATGTTTTGACAAAACCGACGAGGTAAACAAGCGAAGTTCCATTTTTATTCCCGATTCCTTCTGCTGTTGCCATCTCCTGTGCTGCTTGCAACAATGAAAGAGAGTTTCAGCCCAGAGCTTTTTTCAAGCCTGTGGTTCCTTTTACTCTGCTCGCTTGCACATGATTTAGCTCGTTGGCACCGCGAAATGTGCGTGGGTTGTGAGCGTGGCAAGGAGATACGTATATAGAGTTTAAAGCTAGTTAAGGTTAATTTAAATGGACTTCCAAAATTATAACCTTTGTTAAAAGCCTGTTTTACCCAGAGCCTAATTGTTGGGCCTGAAGTTCATGGCTTTTTTTTTTTTTTTTTTGTGAAGTGGAATCTCTTTGTGTTGGGATAGCTGAGGGTGACAGGCCGATGGTTCAGGAAGGATGCTCCTCTCAAGGATGCTCCTCTCATGTGGCAGCTCTGGAAGCTCTGCTGCTGGAGTTGGGCTGCCTGCTCTGCTCCCATCAGATAGGCTGCTTCCCTCCTCCCGCACCGCTCGTGCCAGATGGTCCCAGGTCTGCTCTGGGAGTTCCTCTTAGCCTGCCTATCCTTCTTTTTCACTTTTTATCTTTCCAAAGCATTTCAGTTCCTGACGAGACTGAGTTTTAGCAGCACTGCAGTCTGGGGGAAGGGCAGCTCACACAGGAGTCCAAAATGCAACCTGCTCCTTGTGAAATACAAGTGGGCCACAAGGCTTTACTGGTGGTGTGTTGCGTGTTGTTAGTGCAGAGCAGCTGCAGATAACTGAGAGGAGTAAAGGCCAAATAATCCATTTTTAGGGGTTCAGAGCATTACAGCTCCAAAGGCATTCTGGATATTTTACTGCAATTTGGATGGTGTAGAAGTTGCTGCTGGAGGAGTGCATTGGAAGGGAAAGGATGAGTGGGTCTGCTTTGGGCAGGTGTGTTGCTTTGTCATTAGCAAAGGCATTTCCTGAGCCAGCAGACTCAGGGCAGCCACCAAGAGAGGTGGATAGACTTTGTCCGAGGGGGGAAGCTCCCAGCAGTCACAGCAGATGAGGAGTTGTCTGTATGGAGGGTGGGAAAAGGCTTTTGGAGCAAGGCAGGAAGGTTGGGGCTGGCAGAGGTGGATGGCCAAGGTGCACCTGTGCTGCTGTTTGAGTGCCTCAGCATCTGCACGGGTGCTGGGGGTGGGGGTGGCACTGGGAGAAGCCATAGATCCCAATGGCAGAGCCTCTGGCAGAGCCTTTGCCACAGGGAGCTGAGGGGTGTCAGGCAGCTGGTCCCAGGGGATCACGGGGTAGCTGGGGTAGCTCTGCTGGTCCCACCTCTGCAGTTCTGTGTCTGAAGCCAGATGAGTGGTTGTGTGTTTTGGGAAAGTTGGAGCATGCCACTCCTGTCTCTGTAAAAGTAGTAACCAGCTCTGTAGCCTGTTTGAGGCAAAATATCACAGAAGAGAGAGAGTAGAAGTCACACAGCGAGGAATGAGACATGCTTTCACAGAAAAACATCAGCTGGAGATTAAGTGAGAAAAGATAAAGATATAGGATTTCTGGCCCCGCTATCTGTCTTTTGAATGTTGACTGATTAAAACAAGACAGAGTGAATGGCTGGATATCCCCAAACAATGTTTCACTGTCCCTCTGCAGATCGATACTGCTGATGCTCCTTCTCCTGGAGAGGGGACCTGGTCAGGAGCCTTTTGCTCTGGATGGCACCGTGGCCAGCCAAGATGGAGCCCTGTAGATTTTGCCTGTGTGGGGGTGTTGTCTCATTTTGGGTGACCAGGACTCTCTGCTGGATGTCCCCAGGGCCGTGGCAGTGTCTGCAGTAGCTCTGCAGCCCATGTAGGGCGGGTGGTTCTGCAGCGAAGTTCTGTTCCTGTGTGACGCAGCTTGGGTTTGTCGTGGAGCACAGGACCTGATCTGGTTTGGGTTTAACTGAGACAAAAGAGAAGATCTACCAGGGGGTGTAAATTCATCAGACCAAGCTAGAGATTAAAATATCCAAAACACAGATGTGACTGTCCAGTCCTGAGCAGGGACTGCTTTGCTCTGGCTGTGCTGACGGCTCTGAAGACATGGCCCCAGGTAAAACAGGAGACTGCCTGGGTGGATGGCCTGGCCACTTCTGCGCCTTGTCTTGAGCCTTAGGTTCATGACATGATCCTTTCTGCATCAGCCATCAGCTGGGAGAGCGCTTGGTTTGAGTGGGAATTTGCTGGATCTCCCCAGCAGGGAATTCTGTCTTAACTCAGATGATTCCTTGGCTTTGCTGGTCATCGTTTGGATTGCTGTTCATCCTGATGTTAGCTTTGCAAAAACAAACATCTTAGCCCTTTCTGAGTCTTAGGCCACGTAAGTGAAGTGTAAAGAGGACTGGCTGCAACACCAGCTGTGGGAGTTTGTGCTGAGCCTCCTGGGCTGTGGTGCTGAAGCATTTTTTTCTTGAAACACTATCTTGAAATATGCAGGAGGCCAAGAAAAAAAAAGCTTCATTCTTTCTGTCAGAGATCTGAGAGGTGAGAGGTGTGGATTTACTTCTGCAGCGAGAAAGGATGGCTAGCAAGACCTTGGAGGGAGATGGCTGTTGTGGGACCTGTCCTCTGTGTGCCATGGGGATGGCAAGTGCATGTCTTGGAGAGACTTAGACAGCTTTCCTGGGAAAAACCTCCTTATGCTGAAATGTCATCCCAGGCATGATGTTGATTTCTATAGAGAGTTGCTTGTAAAGGTGGCTTGCACGTTGCATCTGAAGCCCTGTGACCATGTTGACCCCAGTGGGTTTGGATTTGATACTGGACATGGTGCAGAGACTGTGCAACAGCCCCAGTGAGTGAACATCTTGGTGCAAGAGATCACGTGTCACTGATGCACCTCAGAGTGCAGAGGTGGCACTGTCATTCTTGCAGGAAGGTCTGGGAGCCAAGCCTGGGCTCTCAGACATCACCATCATCCCCCTGGACCAATGCAGGGCCCAGCAGTGGCACAGGGGCTCTGCTGTGGGGTGACCCCCACGGGCATGGTTTGAGCTCCTCTGTGGCACCACTGTGCTGAGAGGAGGATCTGTGTCATACGTGCCTGGGTAGTTCCTGTTGCTGGGAGCTGAGGGTCAGTAAATGAGCAGGGGTGGTTTTTCCATTGCTGGTGAATGTCTTGGATGTGCAACTCGGGCCCAAACCACTGGCTGCCCATCGTGTCTGCAGTGCCCTCCAGCCGGGATATTAGAGATTTGGCAGGTTTTGCTCTCACTCTGGGTAGAAAGGCAGGACAGTGGTTGTGCATTGGGCAGGACCTGTCTGTTAGGACATTGGGGAGCAGCACTGCCATTTAAGGGTGTCTCTCTCCCCTGGGCTGGGCTTGCTCTAGTGTCTCCCTGGGGAATATGTTTTATTTCTCTGTGCTCCATCCCAGTTGCTCAGCAGTGCAGTGCAGGCTGATGGCTTTGTTGCCCGCAGTCTCCTGAGATTTGGGACCTGCCTGCGCTTGCCTTTTGCTCGGGCATTCCATATGGGCAGAGGAGCTGAGACCAGCAGCTGGGGGTGAGTCTGCACTGGCACATCAGCCTCAGCCCATCCAGGCTCCTCAGAACTAATGTGAGGGTCGAGAGGTGAGCACTGGGGTTTCAGGGACCAGCTCCTCTCTCTGTGTCAGTCCAGCAGAAGCAGGTCCACCTGTTTCACTTTTGGGTGAGCTGATCTGTCAGTATTTCAAGAAATGCCAGGGCTAGGAATCATGGAGAAAGGATTTTGTGAAATCTGGTATTTAAACCTCCCACTCGAGTGATGCTGAGGAGAGCTGGCAACGTAGCATTGGCTTATCAGGAGCTGTGTGGGCAGGTCAGCTTAAGAATAATGTGTGAGCAGCACCAGAGGTGAAGGAAAGAAGCCAGTGTCTGGTCAGGTACAGAGTTTAAATGGGGTCAGAATTTCTTTTTATTAAAAAGATTGTTTTATTTAAATAATAAATGACAGTAGGATCACCGTTGCCAGGGGCTGCTGAAGGGCAACCAGGCAGGTCTGAGCAAAGTAGGGACTAGAGGCTTTGAATTATTTTCTCTCATTAATAACTCTGAACTAAGCACTGCAAATTCATGCAAAAGTCATCTCTGCTTTCATGCATGCAAACAGTTTGGTTTGTGGATAGGTCTGCTGTGTTCAGAGGCTCATTCCATCTTTAAAAAAAAAAAAAAATTGGCTTCTGAGCTGCACCTGTCAATAAAAGTCCTGGAAAATGAGTCCTGGCAGGCTTTTCCAAGGCCGTATGTAACTTATCTTGTCCAATGAAAGTCTCTAATTGGTGGTTTAAAGTAATTAAAAAAAAGACTCCGTTAACGGTCAGTCTATTTTTAGTTTAAAGGTTGGACTTTATATGGTCATAAAGCAAAATTCTTTGCTTAATTATGGGAATTGAAATACATTGGCTTAACTGCACTAGGAACTGCACACAAGGGTGCAGAGAGGACACGCTTTACCAGTGATTATCTGCTGATAAAATACTACACAGAGCAACAAGTGGAGGCACTCCAGGCTCCAGAAAGCATCCTGAGGCCAGAACTGCTGAGCTGGTGGGGAAGAGATGGCATCAAATCCTCTGCAGATGGTCAGGGTCCATTCCCAGCATGGCACTGGCTGCCTTGCCTTGTATTTGTGGAGACTTGGAACTGGACGGGATTAAAGGGGCGATTTATAACTAAGGGCTTGGTTGAGGAGTTGGTTTGTGTTCTGGAGATGCCTCCAGAAGCTGGGCAAGCAGCTGTGGGAGGTTTGAATGGCAGAGGATTTGGTGGTGGGACATACGGGCTCCTGATGAGGAGGAGATCCATCTGCTCATTTGCCTCTTGAGTGGACAAGTAGGTCCTGGAAGGTGTCAGAGTACTTGGGGCAAGCCTGGGGCTGTCGTTCCTGAAGCTGAGTTACCTGGGAAGCTAAATTTGGGAACCTGGGAAGAAGATAGAATTTTGGACATGGCGGTACCTCTTCCTGAAGTCCTAGGGTGTGCCTGGGAAAAGGATGTGACGAGCAGGTGAAGTGAAGAGCCACAGCTTCACAGCATGTGCTGGTTTTCACTTCAGCCAAGGTGTCCCTTGACTGGTGGCATGGGAAGTGGGCAGGGGTTTGGGAGGATGGACTGAACACAGCGCTGGTGGGAGGCTGAGGCTGTCGGGGCTGTTCTGTGTGGGGTACCTGGAGGTTGAGGGCAGAGTTGTGTGCACAGGAGGGACAACCAGCTGCCAGGCTGTGGGCTGGACTAAGGGATGGGCACGTCTGTGTGGAAACACGAGACAAAAATAGTTGTTGTAGACTGCTTGGTGGGGAAAAAAAACATCTTGGCACGGCTGGTCTGATTGAAACATGGTGGGGGTGATGAAAATCAATAAGATACTGCATTACCTGCCATCACACTGTACTGAGCAGGTGTGCTGGGCCATAAGGGAAGAACACTACATCTAAAATTTGCTGTAAAGTCTGAGAGGAAATTGGAGTAGTGACGGCCAAACAGCCACATGTATGTTGGATATAAATTCTATATTTTAATGACATGGAGGTACTAGGAAGTTTTCTATTCCAGACAAGAAGGAAGTTGTGGATTTCATGGGGCTTGGAAGAAAACTAAGGCTCATGCATCTTCATAAACCTGTAAGAAAAAGTAAATTCCGTTATGACCATGCTATCACAGATTGTTTGGGAAGGAGCTGGCTAGCATTTTGGTGAGCAAACATCTCAATTTACTTAAAGGATCATGTCTTGTAACAGCCTGGTCTACAGTAAGCCTTGCTTTAGGACTAAGACATAAGAACTGGTTCAAGATACAATTACTGTTGAGTTGTTAAGTAGCAGGGACCACAGTATAGGTTCAGTATCCTCAGGAGTAGAAGGTGGTGGACTAAAAGATTACTTGTGTTACAAAATATTGCAGGGGAGAAAATCAGAAAATAATGTCCTTAGACTTGTCAAGGCAGCCCTGTAGATACCTGGAAAGGTTACAGGCATCCGGGTGAGACAGAACTCTGTCATGAAGGAGCAAAGTAAAACAGTTGTTAAAAATATTTATAAGAAAGGGACTAAGGACAGAAGTCCAGGTCTTGAGGAACAGACTGAAAGAACCATGGAGTAGGGCAGCTAACCATGATCTGGAAATAAAACAGTTTTGAAGGGGCTCTGCAGAGCAGGGGACCTGGAGGAGTGAATCCTGTCTGAAGGACATCAGAGAGAGGGCTGGGGAGAAAATCTGGGCGTGCAGGACTGAAGACACAGTTCATTTCCTGCACTAGTTCGTGCTGCTGAAGTGACTTCTCCATGTCATTCAGGAGCAAGTTTGAGGGCCTGCTCTCACCCAGTCCCTTTGGGTAGTAAAGATAAGGAGCCTCCCTCTGAAACTCAAGTGTTTGAGGTAGAGATGCTGGAGCAAAGTAGGAAATTCAAGTGGAAGAGCAACAGGTTTTAAAAGAGCTTGGGAATGAAACACCAAAGGTTCTAGCAAAAATAGGGCTGTTAAAAAACAGCTTAGTATTCTCCATGGCTAGATAACATTCTAATGTTGGCTTATTTTTTTTTTTAATTAAAGTATTAATGGGGGCACTGGGAATTACAGATCAGCACCCCTGAACTCTGGTTTGAGAAGGAGAAGCTGAAATGCTGTAACTCTTCAGTGAGTGAGAGGTGGAAAGCAACACACTTTCTGCAAAGAAAGGGGTTGGACCAGGTGGTCTTTGAGGGTCCCTTCCAACCAAACCATTCTTTGATTCTGTGATCAATCTTGTTTTCTGGGCCATCTACCAGAATCTTTGGACACATTGACAAATAGCAGGAGGTGAAGAATGAACTGATCTTTATTTGAGTGTTTTAAAAGGTTTTTATCAAGTGCTTCCAAGAAGGCATTAAAAAATGTGCTTTTAATGAAAAGAGAAATATCACAGAGTCCTTCTTTGGTTGCAGTTCATGTTGATCAATTGTCTAGTCTGGTTGGAGAAGGTGATCAAAGGCCTCCAAGTCTGCATCTTCAGCCTCTGAGCAAATGAGTTTCCTTCCATGGTTTCATTAAACCCAGAGTTGCTGGGTGGTGTATGGTTGATTTTCATTAAACTTTTCTGGTGGACACAACTAGGTCCAGGCTGCAATGTCTGGTTGGGCAAAGGGGAGAAACAAGCCCAGAATACTGGGTAGCATGGGATCTGGATTTGTCCTGTAATGCAACACCCCCAGTTCAAATTCCTGCCCTGAGCTGGACTTGCAGGTCTGCCAGATCCCAGAGCGTGCCTCAGCAGCTGATGTTGTGGGTATGTTCTGTTTAGTTCTGTTTTGACCAAGAAAAATCCTAAAAGGTTTTGGTTTTGATGATGGGCAGAAAGGGAAGGAGCAGGGAGAGAGGCCTGGACAGCATCTTCCAGGTCTTTTCCTTGCAGGAGAGTTGTTGGTGTGTGTTCTCATGCAGACCTGTGTTGCCTCCCTTCCCAAGAGACCCCAGAGGACCCACAGGTAGCTGGTCTCAGCCAGAGCCACCTTTTGTTGCTCTGGCTTAATTTTAGTCTTCTTGAAAGTCTAGAAGCCATGACAGATACCCTGGCTTCTCCCACCTTCCCTGTCTCCAGTAGATCAGGGTACTAGAGAGTGAGTGCTTTGACAAGTTGTTGGAGTTTGCAACAGGAGCAGGTTTACTGCAGGTACCACGAGGCTTTTGGTCAGAGTTCATGTTTAAAGACAAGAACTGGCAGCTGATGGAGCAGAGTGGTTGGGTTATATTGGAGAAGTGACTCCAGCCTGGCCATGGCTGGAAAATTAAGAAGAGCACGATAATGTCTGGCTGTGCTGTGAGCACACAGCAGTGGGGCTGATCCTGGGAAATGTGAGGCAGCAGGCAAGGGGGGGAAAGAAGCAATTTTTAATGCTCCACCAGTATTGCTAGGCTGTAAGTGAGCTGCAAAATTGAAGAATATCACACTCTGTTAGCAGAGCAAATGAAGTGAAGGTGTGTAGCCTGCCACAGGAATCCTGCCTATCCCAGGTCTGTGAGGCTGCTGAGCTGAGCCTGTACCACAGCTCATTAGACCCCCACGGTGTCCCTGTGCTGTTCCCCCTGGTCATCTCGGGTGGTTGTCACCGGCACAACCTTTGTCCCTACTCTCTAGAAATTCCTTAGATTGCTCACTTCTAGTTAAATTATACCAGCTGACTTTGAAGTACTCAATATAAAACTGTCGTGGTATTGCTTGCATGATAGTTATTTGATGTAAGAAAACAATTTCTCGTGCTCTCTCTTTAGGAATTTGGGCTTCGAGTTTTCAGTGGGGAGTGTTGTACGTGCCCAACTGCACAGGGTCGGGCCCACCTCTGTTTTAAAGCGTTATTTCACATCTGAGATTAGAAAACAAACCAGAAGATCAAGTTGTCACAGGCTCAGATGATCATAGTGACTCGTGCTAAAGGCTCCGTCCTCGTAGAGACCTGCACGGCTGCTTTGTGTAACTGCTGTCAGAGCTCTGGCGTTTTGGTGATAGTGTTTCCTCCTAAATGTTCTGAGTATACTCGCCTTTAAATCCTGTTAGGTACTGATAATTATCTGTTGGTATTCTGTACATTAGCTCTGTACTAGCATTCACGTTGGACTAGGCTTAATATCGTGAGTGTCAAAGATGACTTGAAAAAGGAAAACTTAATTTATACCCTTTCCCTGTGGTTCTACCCCGTGTAGCGGGCGGTTTGTAGAAATACCAGGAGTGCTACAACTGTCTTCCCCCTTTTACTTGCTGTGATTCTCTGCAGGAGAAAATACAGATTTAAATCTATTTTTCCATTCTTTGGAGACGCTGAGATATTATCATGGTGAGGTCCATGGAAATACCCAGACAAACTGGGCAGAGATAAGGCATCTTTTCCATTTGGTTTTTTTTTTTTCTTCTGCTGTCCATTCTCCAACCTTTTTTTTTTTTTTTAAATGTAAAACAGTTATTCTCTCATCTGTCCAGTGCAACATCCTCTAGGATATTTGTGGTCTTCCAGAAAAGGTAGACAGGACTGGAATAACTAATGCCAAAAAACTGCCCACGGCAAGGGAGGGAAATCCTTGTTTTCAAGACAAAACCCTATCCAGGCCTTTTTCAGACACCCCTCAGCACACCACAAGGGTATAAATCCCGACTTTTTCTTTTCCAGGTGATCTTTCAGGCCAAGTAGCAGAGGGCAGGGGTCTGCCCTCCCGGCGGGGCTCAGCCCCGGCACAGCCGGGGTTCCGCAGGTCCAAGCCCCCGGCACCAAGCTGGTGAGCTCCATGGGGTTGGCTTTCACCATGTCCTCAATTTGGATCCCCAGGGCAGAAAAATTAGGACTTTCTCAGTTAAAGAAAAAGCCAAAAGTGAAACAAAATCTCTGGAGAGTTGTGTTTCCCCACAGCAGCGACGGCCCCTCAGCACCCGCTTCTATTCAGCCAGGACCCTCGGGTCAGTCCTGCTGGGTTTTTAGCCATCTTGACCTCATGTTTGCAAATATTATTGGTAATATAATGCTCTATGTACAAATGTCTGTGTGGCTCATGTGTATGTTTCTGTGGTTCAAGTCAGCCACAGACTTCTGGAATTTCATTGTACTTTGGTTAAATGTTGGACTTTTAACTCTTCTACTGTATGGCTTCTTGATTTCTCTTGTCCAATGTGGACCAACTCTATTTTTGGAAATAAATAAGCATGTAAATAAAATGAATGGGTTTATGCCACTTACAAGAAAATGCTTTATTTAAAATATACACTCAGTCTTGTATATTTTATGGTATCTCAGGGAGCAGTGCAGGCTCAGGCCCCAGCAGCCTTAGTGCTGAGATACCATATTATGTACAAATTCACTTCCAAGTGCTTTTGGAAGAAGACTTCCCATCTCCTGAACCAAACCCCCGTAGGACCAGCCTGGCGGAGGAGGGAGGGGGGAATCCAGAAACACGTAGTTTAAGGGGAGTAAAGGAAAGAAACAGGACTTTCCTCTCAACACAAGGCTTCTGGTTTGAGGTGTCCGGGTGCCAGGGATGCCATGGGGCGGTTCTGGGCTCCTGCCTGGGAGCACGTGGAGATCAGGAGCACGATGACATCTTTTTTTATTTTTTTTATTTTTTATTTTTTTTTAAAAAAAAGAACTTCTCCATATAAACCAATATTTACCAGTAATCCTGTGTTTCTGTTTTTGTTTTTTGGCAGACTTTTACCAGTAAATATCGGTTTATTCCTGAAACCAGAAGCCCTAAACATACCTTTGTTTATAAGGTCAGTTGGCATTTTGTCTCTCTCGTTCCCCACTCCTCCCCCAGTACAACCCAGCAGGTGATTGAAAGGTACCGAGTTCTCTTTCTAGTTTTCCTGCTCTGCATCTCTGGGAACTGGAGCCCGCAGGACCTAGAGCCTTCTGTTGGTAACGTAGACCCGAGTTTACAAATTATTCTTTTACCATTTTAAATCCTGCTTTTAAGGACAGAGGTGTTCCCTCCTGCCCACCACGGGAAGTGGTAGAAACCCCTGCAAATGCCCAAATTGCTCCTCCTCTCCGAAGCCTGCGGGTAGGTCTCTCACAAGCATCTTCAGGCTTGGGGCTGAGAAAATAATTTGATCCCAAAATATACACTGAAAACTACCATTTCTGGTTTACAGTGAGCAGGACTGGGGGAGGGAAGGGCGGGAAAGGAGTTTGGAAATTATTTCCCCCCCCCCTTTTTTTTTTCTGGAAAGAAAACGTGACACGGGGAGGAGGGAAAGGATGTGACCATGGCCCTTCCTTAACTCATTGTAAACTCTTCCTCCAAGGCTGGGAGAAAGGGCAGGTGAAAGTTCTGATCCTTAAAAGGACATTGCTGGGTGTCTGGGACCCCAAAAGCAGCTGGTGATTTGTGAGGGTGGGAATCACTTTTGGTTTATCCCAAGACAAATAGACTTGGGAGTGAGTATTGAAGCTTCTTTCCCCACAAGTGTTTGCCACCCCAACACAGCAGCATTTTGCTAATACACCAGAAACAGAGAAGCTGGTGAGGGATAGAAAATGAATTGACTGCATGGTCCCAGCCAATTTTTTTTCTCCCAGGCAAACAAAATGAAAAAAAAACAAAACAAAACAAACAAACAAAAAAAAAAAACCCAAAAAAAAAAACACCACCAAACCCATCCCTGACCCCACAAAAAGGTAACCTCCCAAAAAAGCAAGTCAAAGAGGGTCTCAAACATCCAGGTTTTATAGTGTGTGGTTGTCAGGGGTGTTTTTGGCATAGCTGCAGCCCAACCATGTCCCTTTAAGGAGCACCGTGGCTCGTTTCCTCCTCGTGAAGCCCAAGCTGAGGGTTGTGCCGTTCCTGAAGCTCCTGCAGCCTTAGTTGGAGTCCAGAATGAGGGGAGCCCTTCCAGCTGTGCACTTTGAGCTGAAAACTACCTTTCCTCCCCTTTTGCAGCCTGGGTGGTTCTGATTGCTGGCAGTTCTGTAATACAACCTTAATCTGAGCAGTTGAGGCTGGTCCTACCTTATCTTCAGACGTCTTGCGGAGGACTCCTGTTACCAGTTTGGTACTCAAAAGCTACACCCCACCATCAGAAGTCACTTTTTGTTTTTTTCCAAAGGCAGTGATAGCTCACCCTCTCTAGCTCTAATGGAAAACATGATAATTGCAATGCAACTTTCTAATAAATTGTTCATATATTCATAATTCCGTTGCAATCCCAAATTGGAGAAGAGATCTGTTAAAGGTATATATTAGTCTAGATTTTTCTTATTGTAAATACTGTAATTTTATAATACTGTCAATATTTTATTAACTTAGAAATATTTAACAGAGTTTAATCTATGGTAGTTGATTTATTTATAGGTTTATGTTGCAGCCAGTTACATTCTAATGTAAGATTAACTTTCAGCATGTAAACATCGAGTGAATATATCATTGGAAAGATTAACAGAGAAAACTCTCGGTCTTAATCTGTAATATTTATCCCCAGTTCCCAGTTGGGAATTATTTCATGAAATATTGGGAGGTTTTGAGAGCTCGTGAACCTAAAAACTGCAGTTGGATTTGAAAACTTGAATTTTGAGATGTACTTGGCTCTTCCACCCTGTGAACAAGTTCACTTCAGTACCTGCTCTCTATGGCACGGAAGTCTTTATTTTGAGCAAAGGGACACTGTCAGATCAATTTTAGATTCTTGGGTTGTTGTGGGTGGGGTTTTTTTTTGGGGGGGAGAAGCAAAACGCAGCCCCAGTGCGTGTGTGTTAATTCCTTTTGGCTCACAAGGGGAACAGCTCCTCTCCTGAGGCTCTGGGTCCCCGGCCGGAGCATTCCCGCCGCTGGGAATGCCGCATCCTTCATCCCTGGGCAGGGGTGGAGCTCCGGCCGCTCCGAGGGGTCTCCGCAGTCCGGGTGTTCCCGCAATCCCGCCCTTCCCGGCACCGGCCGCCGCTGGAGCTCGGGCACGTGGGCAAAACTGCACAAAGACTAAAACCTGACAGGTTTTGACCAAAGTTTTTGCTTTTTTTAAAATTTTAAGTCTCTCTCTCTCTTTTCTCCTGATGGTGTCCCTTTAGCATCATAAAGATGTTCTCTGAGAACCATGAGAAGTGATTTGCTTTCCAAGGCAGGGGAGAATTGGTCTGTCATGTGTTTGCAACGCAACTTGCCTAAAAATACCAAAAATATCTCGAGGGTTTTCACAGGCGTTGGTATTTTTTTTTTGGAGTGTAAAAGTTAATCTTGATTAGAGATGTGCCAATCTATACTGCTTTCCTGTAGTGTTGTTACACTTAGGCATTTCAGTTCACTTACGAATATATACTGTAACAGTATACTTTGTACAGATTTATTTAAAAAAAAAATTTATTTGAAAACTGAAATAAAGTAGGCAGAAAATAAAGATATTTATTTTTCATTTGACTATGTAAGAAGGTATCATTCTTTTGGTTTTAGTGCACTGGTGTACCAAGGCTCAGAACCACTGCTTTCTCCAGCTCATAGGATGCTTTTCCAGACTGTGGATACGTGTATGTGTACTGCTGTGTTGATAAGTAAAAACCAACGATGGAGTTCGTTGCTTTTATACATCCCAAAGAGAAGTTCTCCACCGTTCCCTGTCTGTTTTCTGACCGAAAAGGCGTGTTTGTGAACAGTGTTCACGCGAGCTCTGCCATCCCACCCTCACATCAGCTCACACCAATGCCAGGATGGGAGGAGTTGCCAGCGGACCTTCCCCAAAAACACCCCGGGCCCGCAGTGGCATCGTCAGGGAGCAGTTCAAACCTGTGTCCTTTGGGCTTTGTGTAAAGCAAACGCAGAACGAGAAAAAAATCGAGATGTTAAATCCATTAGAGAACCAATTCCTTATTGTACAGTAGTATGGAGATCTCTAGTCAACCTGCCATTAATAATAGATTCTTATTTTTTGAATGATCTATTTAAAAGAACAGCAAGCATTGTATTTGCTAGTAAATCTGAAGTGTTTACATGGAATTACTAAATAAATTATTTGATCTAAGATGGCTCTCATCAGTGCTGATTTTTAATAATGGAAATTCATTTCGGCAGCTGCTTTTTTAGTTCGTGCTGTTCTTTAAAATCTTCCAAAGCAGGTTTGTTGTTGTTTTTTTTTTCACTGCATCCTTGTGGTTCCAGTTAGGTTCTGAGGAAGAGGCAGAGCCTGACAGGAGTGCTAGCTCATGTTTTCCAACCCCTTCCATGAGGCTGCCCCTTCGCATCCCAAACAGCTGAGGTGGAGCAGGATGCTCTGAGCCCCAAGCCCTGCTGCTCACCTGTGGTTCTTTCCAGGCTGAGCCCTGGTGCATGGAGAGAGAGGAATTGTTTTAGCAGAAAGCATTGGGATAGAAGTAAAACATCATCCTGCAAGGTAACGAGTTCCTGAGCTCAGTTCCAGCAGGGCTCAGTCCTGCTTTCTGCTGTTCCAAGGCTCCAGGAACACCCTGTGCTCCCGTCCCCGCTCCCCTGCTCAAGGCCCTGATCCAGGGAGGCTAAAGCAGATTAGGCCTTTGGATCATCAGCAAGGCCAAAGGCAAATTCGGGGGCTTCCAGCCCTTCCAAGCCCCAGGAGCTGCTCTCTGAGGTGAGAGCTGTGCAGCCCCCAGAGCTCCCTGGTGCTCCAGGGCTGGAGGCTGGGGTAGGGAATGCCCAGGGTGGAGGGGCTGCGGCTGGAGAGCGGCGGGAGCGAGAGGCTGGATGCAGAAATCCCTGTACCAGGAGCAGCAGGAAGAGCAGGCAGGCGTTGCAAATGCCTTGTCTGGCCACACCGTGTCCCCCTCCAAGCGCCGCACACGCAGCTTTGCCTGTCGGGCGTTCGGGACTGGGGAAAACGAAACTATCAATAATGCACCTGTCCCCGCACTCCCCGTTCCCAGCCTGGCTCGCACACGCGCTGAGTCACCCCATGCTTAATTCGGTGCTCCCAGCGCCAGAGCCCTGGCTGCAAACCCATCCAAGGCTTGCGTTATGCACTAGCAGAAATTTTTGTCGGACGCGGATTTCACGCTTCATGTTCAGGGCAGGATTCCCGTCCCGCCCCGCCCTCGCTCCGCCGGCTGGGGAGGGGCGAGCCCAGACCCTGCTCCGCACACATGGACAGCGAGCCCTCCGGCCTCCCACTCCCCTTTCCCGCTCCTCCAAACCCTTGATGGTTTGGACAGGTCCGAGATGTCCATCCCTGGGCCTTGTGGCACAGCCCCAGGTCTCCCCGAGCCTCCCACCCCAGGAGCTCGCCCATCACACCACAAACTGTTCCGCTGGAAATCATTCAGCTCTCACTCATTCCTCTGCACAGCATATTTACACACATCTCTTTCTCCTGTGTGAGCTGGCCCATGTTCATGAGCAGTGCATTCCTAGAAATTTGCTTTCTGGTTTGGGGGAAATTGAGCACAAGGGTAAAATGGCTCCATTTGTCTGAGTAACATCAGGAAACCTATCTGGGCCAGATGCTTCTCCAAGTTGATACCCACCAGCCCTGGCTGATGGTTGGTGCTTCAGAAGATGCTGGAAACAGCTGCTCTGCACCTTGCCAATGCATGCATGGCCCTTATTCTGGAAGAAAATACTTTAGCTTAATTTCCCACCCCCTCTATAGCACATGGCAGTGACCCACAGCTTTGATCCCGCTGCCTCTGGTGTCTCCTCTCCTCGTTTAAATGCTTAAAACAAAAACCAAACTGAGACATTGGGCAAAAACGCTGGTCACAAGCTTGTGTTTTTAGTAATTGCCCATGTTTGTTTGTAAGGGATGCTCCAGTAATCAGATATGGAGCATCCTGAGCTGGCCTTGCCTCACACGATGGCTCCCAACCAAAGCAATTCCTTCCACGCTGGCTTGCTTGGCATTGCAGAGGACCTGATGGCTTTTCTGGGAATTGGCTAAAGTAGGTTATTCAAGATAAAAGGAAATGCCCCAGGGTGGCATTCCTGACCTGGGAAACCAGAGCAGGTACTTTTGCTGCCACCACCACTGCTGCTCACATGGAGAGGGGACTCGAAAGCCAGCTGTAACTGCCCAGTCCTGCCATGCAGGTGTTGGGAATAGAGACTGCTCTGGATTTGCAGGAATGCTTAATTGCAATGAGGAGGCATAGGCATGAACTTGATCCATCTCCTAAGAGCTTCCCTTTCAGCTCAGCAGAGCATGGGAGCTGTGAAGGCAATACTTGATTTATTTCACCCCAGATTTGTTTCTCCAAGTCTAAAATATGGGAAGTGGACAAAGAGAGGAGCTTAAAAGGGAACAAAAATACTGATGGTAACATCAAATAGTGGTTCAAGTGGGAAACCAGCCTGATCATTTGTTGTACCCACCCACAGGAGGGCTGGGAGAGGCTGGTCTCCTGCTGCATTTTATATGTTTGGGTTTTTTTAATTATTTTATAACTTACCCAGCATTCATGTTGGCCTGGGACTCAAAAGCCATGGCAAGGTCAGAGGGTGATTTCTGCTGCCAGGCAAGGAGGATGGCAGTGTGACTCTTGGGGAGCCATTGCTCTGCACCCCCCAGGCAGTCTGGGACACAGATGTCTCCAGCTGCTCTGGAGCTTGGCTGAGGCATTCAGGGGCAGATCCTTGTCAGGCAGAGACTGCTGAGGGATCTGTGTCCACGGGGCAGTGCAGCCAAGCCCTGTTAGCACTTACACTGGGCACTCAGTGCCAGGGGATGCCCACAAGAGCTTGACCCCGACAAGGGTGCCCCGGGAGACCAGTAAACACAGAGGGGAAAAGGAAGGGACTGGGTTTGAACAGCAAAGCCCATCTTAGCCCTGCTGTCCCTACAACAGGCTTTCCTGCACCTCCTTTTGCTCTCCCTCTCAGAAGTGTCTCCCTGGGCCAGCCTGCATCTGTCACAGCCAGAGGATTTACCAGAAGGACTGAGCTGTACTAAAATCAGAAGCAGAAGATGCCTGCAGTGCCTCTCCCTGCCCTGCTGGGTGAGACAGACAGTGATGATGGCTGTGTCCTCCACCACAGCTCACATCCCGCAAGGATTCCCAGCTGAGGCTGTTCACCTTGGCCATGGGAACGAACCCACAGTGTCCCTGCCAGGAATGGTCATGGAAAAGCACCTTGCCACGCTCTGCAGGCTGCACTGGCAGAGGGGTGGGATGGCCTCCCGACAGGCACGAGGGCAGGCGGTGGCCTGGTGTGGCTGCTGGGCTCCCACGAGCTCGGGAGCACTCCGTGAGTGGGCACTGGCAGTGCCTGCTCTTAGGGGGTCCTCGAAGCTCTTCTGAGTGAGGGAGGTCAGATCTGCCCCCACCACTCTGCCCATCAGTGAATCCATCCCGAGATAATCCTGTGCAGCTGGAAGATCATGTCACTCTTTGACAAAAATCCCCTCTAGTAGGAATAGAGAAGCTGTGGCTGCCCCATCCCTGGAAGTGTTCCAGGCCTGCTTGGAAGGGGCTTGGAGCAACCTGTTCTAGTGGAAAGTGTCTCTGCCCATGGCAGGGGAGTGGAACTGGGTGACCTTTAAGGTTCCATCCAACCCAAACCATTCCATGATTCTGTTAATAGCAACAGCATTCCCTCTGGCTGGTGGTTCCCCGTGCCCCGTGAGGGTTTGCCCTGTCTCACAGCAGATGTCCCCAAAGATCAACACATTGCCTTGACCAGCAGGAAGGGAGCTTGAGGGTTTCATGGAGGGTGAAGCAGGGAGTGCTGGGGTCAGATGAGCCCCCACTGCTCTTTGGGAGGGGCTGTGTTTGGGCTGAGTCCTGGCAGTGCCTGGCAGAAGTGGCTGAGCCTGGGGCTGCACAGTGTTAGATCTGACATCCAGGAGCATCCAGGGACCTCCCAGCCCAGGGCTCTCCCCATCACATCTCCTCCTGTGCACCCAAAACCCCACAGCCCAGACCTGTGGTGGAGATGCAGCACAAAGGGGCCGCAGGGGCCTGTTCAGCCCAACCCTGTGCCTGAGCACACTGACAGTAACGTCGTGTGCAGGATGAGCTGAGTCCAAGCACGGGGAGCAGCAGGGATGTAGAGAACTCCTGTGCCCAGCTTTGCTGTCCTCTGGCCCTGCTTCTCCTCCCAGTTAGGGGCACTAATGCCCCTAATCTTGCATTTTCTGTGGTGAATTTCCCTCAGTTGGTGTTCAGCCTGCAGCTTGAGGATTTCTCAGCAAGCTGCTACTTTTCTGTGATGGAATTAGTGACAGTGGGTACAGCAATAGCAAGTAATTATTCAGTGACCTAGAAATGACCTTTAGATTTTAAAAATCCCTGGTTTTACCCAGGGCCAAAAGTTCATGAACCTAAAGGAGCTTCTGGAGCACCAAGATTTGGGCAATAGCAAAGCACTTGGAAAGGAGCAGCACTGGGAAGTCTCTCAGTGAGTGAATGATCCTGAGTTCTGCTGGTGTCCCAGCCTCCCAGGGCCATGATGTCCCTATCCAAGTGCTAAGACACAAGGATCCCTGGCATAGACTGTGCAGCCCCTGGCTGGAAAAGCAGCCCAGCCATGGCTTTTTGGGAAGTGGGAGGGATTACCCAGTCCACCCCCCAAACCAGCTACGGGCACATGGCCATCAGATGTGGGACTACCTGTGGGAACATCTGGCCACCACCACTGCCCATCCCAGGACATTTGTGTCAGTCTTAAGGCCACCAAACCTCACTGCCAACGTGCTGGCACAAAACTGGCACCACCCTTGGCCCCAGCAGGAGACACCACAAGGAACAGGCAGGAAAGACTTTCTCAGCTCCAGCTCATGGCCTGCCTCCAGTGCCATTGGACTGGGAATGGGCTGGGCAGGGTCTCCTGAGCCCTGCTGGCCTCCATGCAGACTCACTCCCTACAACATGGTCTTCTGCCCTCTTTTTGGATGTGGGATGCTGATGAGCCTCTTGGGAGATCCCACATGCTACCCAAGCTCCTCTAAGGAGGAGATGAACCTTGGACTGGGGAACCAGTGACCTCTGAGCCTCCCAGTTGTTCAGCCCCTACTGAAGGAGAAATCTGTCTCCCAGGAATGGCTCAGGAAGCCAGGTG